CTTTGAGCGTCACATTATAATCCGTTCCAGGTTTCAGACCCTGGACAGTTTTATCAGTCACTTGTGATGACACAGCTATGATAATTGGTGCTGCATCTGTGGAGTTTTTCTTTCGAGTGTCCAAAAGATAACCTGTTGCTAAAGGATGTTGTTCCCATTTTACTTGAATGGAAGAGGCGCTTGTGGGAACTGCCGACAAGATTTTACACACTGAAAAGCAATGACAATACAAGACAGTTGAATGAGGTCCTTTGTTATTCAACCTTAAAGAGAAAATTGATCTTGAAAAAATTAACAATAATTTTTAATCCGTTTGTTCTATTGTTGTATTTTTTAATTATATACATGGACTTTGACCTGGCATGAATATAATGATTAATCATTTCCTAATTTACGCTATATTAGAAAACACGAAGTTTAAACATTGTTGAAATAACAATCTTATTCATTCTCTTACCATCTGCACTGCACTGTTGTATCTGTAAACAACAAAATAATTAACGTAATATGCTTTAAATATTGTACCAATAAACAGCATTGAATATTTGATCAATATTTCAAAGCATTAACATGAGAAATTGAAGCTTTACCTGCGTGAGAAATGCCAACGTTAAAGAAAAGCCTATGGCTCCCAGCAATCCCATCTTTGACTTTGACAGTGGGATTAAAATTAGTTTGGTATACAAGTGAGTCAAATACAAAAGTTGTACTGGATTCTTTTGAGCTTCAGCTCAGCATGCTTGAGGACCAATCAGTGTTCTCCAAATGAGGACAGGCGGTCCAACCAGCAGCCCAGAGCAATAAGATCTGCCCTGAGAACTCAGCAGGAGGGGGGATGAACAGCAGGAGGATGGAAGGATGGAAGGATGGAAGGATGGATGAAGGTTTGATGGCTTTACATAATATGTTTGCATGATATATATTAAGCAATTACAAATCTTAAATAAACATTTTATTTTTGCATCATTTCAATCTTTTAGTACAACAGAATGTAAAGACTTCAGTTTAAAATTAGTTTTCAAAACCAGGAAGTAAAGTCAAAATTAGAACAAACTTTAAAGTTAATGTGTCTATTAATATGTAATTTAATTGTCTATCTATCTATCTATCTATCTATCTATCTATCTATCTATCTATCTATCTATCTATCTATCTATCTATCTATC